CTGAATGATAATTATACAATATCATGAATTGACTGAAGTTTGAAATTGTTTGGGACGTTAGATTTCCAGAACTCACTTGGGAAAGGACCTAATTTTTTAATTTTATTCTGAAAATTTGAATTCCTTTGTTTTCGCGCCAAAAGCACTCTTGTCACCTTCATGTCGTATTTCCCACTGGGAAATATCTTAAATGCTATTGGTCCGTTGCGTCTTTTAGTATGCTATTTGGTAACTCTCCCCAAGGACGGTTTTGCACTGTATATATATGTTTTGAATTGTGTTTGTTGTGGTCGCTCCTTTCTGGCTGTTTGCAGAATATACTTTCCCATTCAAAGCTTGGACTTCTCCCTCTAGTTAGCGGGGCTGAGACGCATCAAATAGCTAGCTTACTGGTCTTGGTCACTGAGTCTTTGTTCTCGTTCGAAGATCAAGTGGACTCTTGTTAGCTTCAAACCTAGCAGAAATATGAACTGTTGAGTTGTGATACAGTGATCTAGAAATAATGTATACCAGTTGTTAAGCATACTGGTTTCAAGTTTAATAATTAGGATTACTGTAAATGTACACTGCTGAGCAGTTCTGCAAAAGAACAAATAACTTGAAGAGAGCAAAGATGAAGGAATAAGCAGAATAACAAAGATTCATTTGATTTCATTAGGTCCTCATCAGTTGTTTATAACTCATAATATTTTAAAAACTCAATTTATGTCATTCTTAAATGCTGTTTATTTATATTCAACTACTTAGTTGCGTAATCAATTAATTATTTTAATTCTTGTGACGGTCGATATTTGATATAATTCTTATACTTCGTACACTGCTCGTCCAGATAACCGCTAGTAGATAACGCCCAACAGTGTATAGATCAGAAGACGAATACAAAGTGTTGATTACGTTTATTATCGCATTACACACAGATCACTAAAACCACAGGCACACAAAACAAAAATGATATGCAAGTGCGGAAGAGAAGGATTAAATGTACATATATACAAAGGAAAATAAATGCATCATCGAATCATTTAAGCAACTAACACTGAAGTTAGCAGAATGAATATATGTGTAGGCGGTAAGTAATGCTCAAGCATACATGTTCATACAAGCGCAACAATAATAATAGTACAATGGTACAGATAAGTTGTTGTTGTTGTACGAATGACTCTGTCTGTTAAATAAGTTAATAAAAGGGTTTAACTAAATTAAATGTGAACAAACTCAAATGTATGTGAGCTGTTGTAATAAAATGATCGCCTAATACTGTCCGATGATCCAGGTTCTTCTCTCAGATATTAGATCTATTTGTAACACTCATCATATATCTTCAATATGATCACACCACCATGATGATACATAGTCAATTTTATTGTTATAAGTGTGTGAATTCTCTGATAATTCTGATTTTAAAATATTATAGGTTAAAAGCAGACTATGAGAACCTAACGAAGTTACATAAATTCATGTTATTCTGCTCAGTTTATTGTTCCTTCTCTTTTTAAGATATTAAAAGGATTAATATCAGAAGGGGTTTTATGGATATTATAGTAATTTTAATAGTTGAGATCATGAGTCCATTGAAACTAGACAACCATGGGAAATCTGGAAGTACTGGACCTCCGTTTCGTTCTGCTGTGAGATTCCTCGGTAGTGCGCATCCACGACCCCGTCTCACGAGATTCGAATCCAGGACCTGTGAGTCTCGCGCGCGGACGCTTAACCATTAGACCACTGAGCCGGCCTGCATCCATCGATCTTAATGTCTAACTTCAGCTAATCCACGAGATTAAGCGATACATCCGCCATTTTTTTCAGTGAGTTATTATCTCACAACAGACCCGGTTTAACTCCACTGGTCACTACTTCTCATTAGAACTCCAGGGATTACCTCTTGGAGACCGTCACTAGTGAGCATATGTTGATTGTACTTACATTTAATAATAAAAGGAATTAAAGACAATGTGAAATAACGCGAGTGTACGATTAAGACAATCTGATGATTGAACTAAGTTGATAATTTAATGTTTCAAGCAGATTACATAATACAACTGAGTAATGAGCACTCATGAAAACTGAATTATTGACATAAAAGTTAATTAAGTGAACAGATATCAGAACAAAATAATAGAGAATCTACTGATAAAGCAATTTCTTTCCTATAAAATAACCTTTATTATGTACAGAATGTGTGGCGAGACTATAATTTATGAACGAACTAATCAGGTATATGATAACAAGTCTCAAATTTTGACACGAAATTCATTCATCGATTTGGCTAAATAGAATTTTGGCATTATAACTGATGTCAGTTCGTGATGAAAACCTTAAATCTAATTCCTAACCTTAACCATCAACTGCGAATCATAATTCAAATTCCTTACATTGGTTTATAACCTTCATTTGGTTCTAGTTATTAGGTGAACAAACTTAGGGTCACTTTAGTGTCGCTCGAAGGTCGTCCATAAATTGTATTTTCATCGAATGTGTAATACTAAGTGAAAATGGACAATATCATCTAGAAATGTAATTGATTGATTTCATAGATCATTCAATAATCGATGACGTCATGACTTGATTTACTAAGGTTGTCTACAATACTTTCAATATTTAATCATTTTCAATAGGTGTATGTTGAATATTTCATTTCAAGCTTCTTAAACCATCTATAATTGACTACTGTGAAAATGTTCGCGTACCTCAGGTCAACATACTACATACAAACATTGTGGAAATGATGACTTGAAATGAAATTTTAACTGAAAATTACTCTCGAATTATTTAGGACTCAATTATAAAATTAAGTTCTGAAATGATTGACATTGTTGACAGTTTGATATTCATTACATGTGATAGGCAAAGTGACAACTTATTGCCGATTTGGTTGATAATCGATAGTTTTTAAAATGGGCTTATATTGCAGTGTGATGTATGCTGTTTATGGTTTTTTTCATCTGAATTGGTTCACTTCAGTAGTAGTAATACTGTTAATTCCAACAATAGAAATAGTTGAATTTATGTAATATATAACAGTTCTTTCTGTCCTACTTTATGGTTGCGAAACGTGGCTATTAAGAGTAGAAGATACTCGTAAGCTACTAGTACTAGATCACAAATGCCTTAGAAATATTGCTCGTATCTGCTGGGATCACCGGGTAAATAATAGTGAGGTTAGACATAAGTTATTAATGAATAATGGTAAATCATTTGATGAGGTTGCGAATCTACATCGACTCAGGTGGTTGGGCCATATGTTACGTATGCCTAAACACCGATTATCATGACGCGCAATGCTGACTAGTGTTGGAGACGGTTGGAAGAAAGTTAGGGGCGGCCAAACCTAAGCGTGGCATCAGTCCATAAAGTCACTAACTTCTGGTCTGATCCATGTTGTTAGATGCAGACTAATTGGTTGGTGTCCGCATGACTATCATCACCAATGGTTGGAGACTCTTGGTGACATGGCTCAGAATCGATCAGAATGGCGTAGGTGTATACGCTCTCTGTTTTCCCTTAAACTAAGAGATTAAAATCGCTTCATATCTTTCTTTCTACGTAATAGTTCTTTATTCCTGTATTATGTCCTCATCGCAATCTTTCATTTATATATTACCACCACTGAATTAACTACTATGAATCCGGTGTTCATCTTGTTGTGCTAATGCGGTATGGCAACTTTGATCAATATATATATATGTGTGGTGCTGAGTTGTAGCTGACTGACTGACTGACATAACATCTGTAGAATAAATGGTACTGGTATGTCTGTTTATCAATTAGCTATTTATCATGCTTATATGATGTCTGTTCTAATAGTTTTTGAATATTATCTCAAAGAAGAATTATAGAACGATAACCGAATTTCTTCAACTTTCAAAAACAGTTACAATTAAACTAGCTAACAGCTTTCTACATCAGGGATAATTAAGTGTAAATTGTAACTCAGTTAAAACAAATCTACCTAGAGAGTCGAATAAAGAAGTATACTTTTAAATGAATTCTATCGAACTGGAATATGTGCAGGTCATATTAAAGGATAATCCGTTTAATATTTATTATGCTAATCAAAAGACATGATAAATGATGATCAGTTGAATATTATTCATGTGGTAAACTGATATATTGCAGTTCTAAATATCGATGAGAAGATTCAAACAAACAATACAAAATGAATTTAAAACTTCACCACATTGCACAAGGTAGTGGTTATCAGAACTCAGTAGCTGAGTAAATAACTTGATGGCGTTTGAAGTAAGTGGTACTGGGTTGAAGTCCCAGAGTGAACAGTATCAACTCTGACATGCAAGTACATCCAGCTGGCGAGTCCCAAATAGGATGAAATGCGTGTCCTGGATTCCACTGCTAGCCACTCTCCATGTTCGCTTATAATGGTTGTGACTTAAGGCGATATAGAAGAAATCCGTAGAAAATTCACATACGACAATAAGAGACTGATCAATTGTATTCTTAAATATCAATGGGAAGATTCAAGTAAACAATACCAAGTGAATTTTTAAAACTGAGTATGTTGAAATAACTGGTGTGTTTAAGAACTTTCGTCTAAATTTGATCGAATATTTTCACAGTATTTGAGCGCCGAGTTGATATGAGACATTAAAGAAAAAGAATGCATTTGTTAAATTTAAGCGAATGAATTTGAAAAAATCGGGTCCAAGCTTCTCAAGGAAATATAATCAAGGATCAAAATTGTCGAATATATATAGGTACCTGGTTCTCCGGTTCACTGTATGCTGAATAGATCATCGAATCAACGTTAGATTTACTTCGAATTCATTCGTTGAGTTTTTACAAGTACATTCTCAATCTTTAACCGGATCAAATAATCCAAGTGTAAATGCAATTGGTACAATCACAGAATATTCAACAAAAACGTCAAAAAATCTAATTTTCATGCTCATTGGGATATTAAAAATATATATTATTTATTTACTTTAACTGGTAGGTTTATTAAATTTATAAATAGTCTCTTCTCATTATTATTACCGTCGTCACATATTTCTAATCATCATCATCATCATCATCATCATCATCATCATCATCATCATCATCATCATCATCATCATCATCATCATCATCATCATCATCATCATCATCATCATCATCATCATCATCATCATCATCATCATCATCATCATCATCATCATCATCATCATCATCATCATCATCATCATCATCATCATCATCATCATCATCATCATCATCATCATCATCATCATCATCATCATCATCATCATCATCATCATCATCATCATCATCATCATCATCATCATCATCATCATCATCATCATCATCATCATCATCATCATCATCATCATCATCATCATCATCATCATCATCATCATCATCATCATCATCATCATCATCATCATCATCATCATCATCATCATCATCATCATCATCATCATCATCATCATCATCATCATCATCATCATCATCATCATCATCATCATCATCATCATCATCATCATCATCATCATCATCATCATCATCATCATCATCATCATCATCATCATCATCATCATCATCATCATCATCATCATCATCATCATCATCATCATCATCATCATCATCATCATCATCATCATCATCATCATCATCATCATCATCATCATCATCATCATCATCATCATCATCATCATCATCATCATCATCATCATCATCATCATCATCATCATCATCATCATCATCATCATCATCATCATCATCATCATCATCATCATCATCATCATCATCATCATCATCATCATCATCATCATCATCATCATCATCATCATCATCATCATCATCATCATCATCATCATCATCATCATCATCATCATCATCATCATCATCATCATCATCATTACTTCTACCCAGTTCCAAGACTTTAATTTCACCTAAGCTGTTCATAGTTGCTTGGTTTGATCTGTTTGATCTTATTTCTTCAAAGTTTCATACTTTTTTGTGATAATACTCAATAATGTTTGATTCTTTATTCATCTAATCTCTTGATATTCATTTTGGTAGTTTGTAATGATATGAAGATATTTTTTTATTTAGAAAAGATTTTGGGAAATCCAGAAAATTTTTCGAAAAAAAGCTGACAAAGTCTCTGAAAACATTGAGAAGCAACTTATCCAATCAGCGTTCAGTAGAAGTTTTGCCAAATTTTGTCGAATTTCTGATAGGATGATTACTTATACTGCTACTATATTTAGTAGGATTCTAGAATTTTCCGGAACCTCAAGGACATTTAAAGTAGTATAAAAACACTAGATTTTTTGTACATACATGAACTTTTGTAGTAAAGCGATTCTTCGGTTTTTCGTTCCTTTTCTCTCATGTTCAATTTGTTATGTAGATCTAGCCTATATGTTACCAGAAGAGCTTAAGGATCGAATCTAGCGTTCAATTAGAAAACCTATCAACAAAAAGAACAACTGATATTGATTAAAAAGATTGGAAATCATGTAAATTAATAAAGTGTTTCACTTAGGAGTATTCGGTGATGCATGCGCAAAATTCCATATATAATTACATATGTGGCAATTTAAATCTTTATAGGAGAAAACTATATTAGTTGCAATCCAGTTAAGTTACTAATTTCAATCAACTCATAATATTAGCGTAATCGTCATTTAACATCACTGGCTTTATTGATGAAGAGATCATTTATCTTCAGTCTTTAGTCTTCAGTAATAAAGTTAGTAGGTTGATGAACCTGTTTTAATCCTAACAGATTGCCTCCCAGTGAAATTCCAGATTCTCCTTGAAAATATTCACTGATGGGGCTGATACCACTTGTTCAGGTAAGGCGTTCCAGTCATTGACTACTCGATGAGAAAAACGGGATCCCACTTTAAGTTTATTAGATCGGGATTTGTGAAACTTCTTGCTATGACCTCGTAGATTATTAGTGCTATAGGGAACAAAAAGATAGAACATATTAACGCCCAAATCATAATTAAAGATACGAAATGCCAGTATAAGGTCACCTCACATCCTATGATACGACAAGGGGAAACGGTTTAGGCGTTTTAAGTGCTCATTGTAAGGGAGTTTAGAAAGACATTTCACTAATTTTGTTCTCACACGCTCAAGTGAGTTAGTATCCCTTATCAGACACGGGCTAGCTGCTTGGGTACAGTACTTCAAGTGTGGTTTTACATAGGTAGGATATAAAATTCGAAACATTTACTCATCAAACCATTTGAATGCTCGGCAAAGTGACCATAACGCACGATAAACTTTGACAGTAGCTACGTTGCAATGCTTAGTTGTTTTCAAGTCATGACTTATTATTACTCCTAAGTCTTTATGTTCTTGAACGCGTGGAACAGATTTACCATCAATAGCATAACGGTAACTATTACTGTGTCCGATGTGCATGAAGAGACTCTTCTTAGAATTAACTTCTAAGCTCCAAACTCAAGCCTATATAACTAATTCATCTAAATCATCTTGGAGATTAAAATGATCAGCCTCACTTCTTATTGTTCTTATTGATTACTTCATCATAGTCATTGTTATTAACATAATTTTACATATTTTCCTAAAAATCATCTACACAATAATTTATAAGGTCACATAAGTAAAAATAATATCATTTGAATTCATGAGTCAGTTAAATCTAGACCATCATGAAAAACTTGGAAGCATTGGACATCCGTTTCGTCCTAGTATGAGACTCCTCAACAATGCACATCTACGACGAAACGGCCATCTACTACTGATAATCTAGCTTCAATTGACTCATGAATTCAACTATTATATTGCTATAATACCTATAAAAACCCTTCTCTGATATTATTTTTTATAAATAGATTGAAAGATTGCCATTAAACTTCAATAAGAATGTTACCTTGTTATCCTCCAAGAGTAGATCAATTTGATTTTTGTTGACTATAATAATGATATTTAGTTTCGTATTTTGTTTTGTTGGCCTAATTTTAGTACTAGTGACCTTGAACGGATTGTTGAATGATGTACGTAATTAATAATAATAATAATAATAATGATTTTATTAACTATAAAACCGGCTCACTTCTGTGTATACAATTTATCTTTATGCCAAATAAATTAGGGTCACATATATTCTTAATTACTTTGTACTTCCTAATCATGTGATCAGTGAGAGAATTGTAAACTACAGAGCAGTTAGATGAGTTGAATGACATGATAATGTATGTTGAAAAAAATAATGGAACAACAGGAAAATATTAAACTAAGAATATCAGAAAGGGATTTTGTGAAGATTTTAGAAATTTCACTAGTTGAAATCATGAGTCAATTGAAGCTAGACCACCATGAAAAATCTGGAAGCACTGGATGATCGTTTCGTCCTAGTGTGGGACTCCTCAACAGTGAGCATTCACGATCTCGCACCCCGAGAGGTTCGAACCCAGGACATTAACACTGTTGGATGCCGGTTCAGCGGTCTAATGGTTAAGCGTTCGCGCTCGAGATTCATAGGTCCTGGGTTTGGATCTCGCGGGGGGTCACGGATGCACATTACTGAGGAGTCCCATACTGGGACGAAACGGCCGCCCAGTGCTTCCATATTCTTCATGGTGGACTAGTTTCAATTGGCTCACGATTTTAACTAGTGAAAATAAGAATAGATAAGATGTGAATCAAATGGACGGTATGTTAGGTGTATATAGGTGATTGATAATATAGCTTAGTGTTTGTTTGTTTGTTAGGGTTCGTTGACATGCATTAACAAAATATATTTGCAGTATTAAAAAACTCCTTTCAACACCTACAGAATTACAAATTGATCAAAGTTAGATAATCACTGAAAATTAAGAAGCACCGAACAGCCTTCTCGTCTTGGTATGGGACTCTTTGTTGACAATGTGGATAGGAGAACATTATGGAATCTTTTTCGACATAATGGAGTGAGTAGCTGAAAAGATCATCAATATCATATAGGATTCATATGGTGGACTACACTGCAAAGTCGTGGATGGAGTACAGTTGATAGACGCATTCGAAGTGAGGATCGGAGTCGTTCTTCTAGCGATTGACTGGATTATGAAGACCTTCACACCTGAGGAGGAGCATAGAGTACAATGGATAAGGTGGATGCAACTAGATGATTTGGACTTTGCAGGTGACGTAGCCCTACTATCCCATACACACTAACAAATGCAGGTGAATACAGCCAGTATAGTAGCAGCCTCTATATCAGTCGGCCTCAAAATACATAAGATAAAATGCAGGATCCTGAAATACAACACGGAGAACACCGTAACAGTCACACTTGATGGAGAAATTCTAGAAGAGGTGGAATCTTTCACGAACCTTGGAAGTATCATCGATGAACGTGGAGGATCGGATTCAGACATAAAGTCGAAGACTGGCAAAGCAAGGATAGAATTCCTACAGTTGAAGAACACATGGAATTCAAAACAACTTTCAACAAATACCAAAGTGAGAATCTTTAATACGACCGTCAAGACAGTTCTGTTGTACAAAAGTGAAACGTAGAAAACTACTACAACCATCGTCAAAAAAGTGCAAGCATTTATAAACAATTGTCTACTCAAGATGCTCAATGTCCGTTTTTGACCGAATACCGTCAAAAACAGCCTACTATGAAGGAGAATAAACCAGCTTCTAGCTGAGGAGGAAATTAGGAAAAGACTTTGGGAGTAGATAGGATGAAGATTGTGGAAATCATCAAACTGCATCACAAGACAAGTGCTAACTTGGACTTCTGAAGGGAAACGAAAAAGAGGAAAGCCTAAAAACACTCTGCGTCGGGAACTGCAAGCAGACATGAAAATTAGCAAAATATTGGTTTCTAGAGACTTTTCAAACTAGCATAATAAAACTACCAGTTACATCCTGATTTCACAATGATTCTCTATGTAATATCAATCCGTGATGGAAAATAGCTTGGAATATTTAAACAGAGATGGACAGGGGCTAGGAGTAGCATATTGGACGTAAATTTCGTCCTACTTTTCAATCGTCAGCTGGATATACTTGTAACCCAGAGTTAATGTTCACTCCGAGACTCGAGCTCAGTACCGTTCGCTTCAAAAACTATTGTATTATCTATTTAGCTACTGAGTCTGTAATGTTCGTTAACTTTTGTAGTGAATGTCTTAGATGTACTCTTTTGAGGAGTTTCATATTTGGAAAAAACAACTGTCCAATTCCCATGGTTTTCAATGACTATCCAAGTAAAGTCAGCCTGTAATGTAACCTATAAAATGGGTGTTAGTGATCTTATTAATCATAATCTTGCAAATATTTAAATCCGGCTTGTGAGTATAAGGAATATAAAAGCTGGATGTCTTAATTTTATCTTAATGATTTCAAAATGGTCAATAGGTCCCTCGTAATCTAGACCATCTCGGATTTCCGTTCATTTTAGTGGAAACGTACCCGGTCATTTCACTCTAATGAATGAGTAACAGACAGCAATAATAATAAATTTCAGGACAGTAGAATTGATCATTAGACAGATGTTATATTGAAGTGGTGGAGAAGATTTGTAGCTCAGGTAGATGATTTTGATGGATTTTTGTTCTTTGAGCTGGATGATTTGGTCGTGGAGCTTACGCACAAACATAGGAACAAAAATCAAACCAATGGGAGATACAACCAAAACAAGGAAGTAAACAATGACAGGTTTAAAGTTAACAAGAACCAATCAACATCGAGGTGTACAGGACAAGCTGTGAACCATATGTGGAGAAATTCGATCATTCCACTTCTACCTGAAGTTTATGCCGATGATGTCGTTCAGAAGGACGATGAAAACTCCACGACCAAACCATCCAGCTCAGAGAACAAAACTCCACCAAAAGTATGTTATATTATTATGTATTTATGATTTTTAAAAATGTTC